CTGTAGATATATATAGATATATATAAAATCCCAATATGCACGCGTGAGGCCTCCAGAAAGGTAGAGGACCATCGGGGGGCAAGGGTGTCAGATCCCAGAGTTCTACTTAAAATGTATGCATGCATGTATGTGTATTTGACTGTTTGTCTGGAGATCAGCAATAAGAGCACAATGTACAGAGACATGATAACACCAGTGATAATGGTTATAATAACCAGATTTCACAATGGCAGGTAAGTAAATTGCGCATTTCCCAGGACAAGGTCTATCTGACCAGAGTCTCCTTGGAAACCGCAAAGAATTGATAGTCTGTGCTTAAATCACCTAAAGCAGTAACAAACACAGAGTGGGCTTAATAGGGGTGATGGAAACTGCTTGACAAAGTGCCAAAACAAGAAAAAAACGGTATTTCTGTTATTGGCAGTCATTGAGAAATCCCGCATCATTAAATCCTAATGAATGCAGGAAAGGAGATTTTTAAACAGTAAGTGAAAACAGAGCTACGTTGTATTTTAGCTCCTTATGAACACAGCACTCATCGCTCTGCTCTTGAAAGTACTCTTACATCCCGCTACATATACAACTGTGTATCGATTTCCAGGAGCAAATCTTATCTAGTAATAATTCTGCCGCTGCCAAGATTTAATTAAAACAGCTAAAATGCCCTTTATTTTACAAGATGAAATAGTGTGGAAATGGCTTTCCTGCAGACCAATATTCCTGCTCTGATTACGAATGAAACTTGGCCCGCGTTCAACCTTTCCTAGTACACTCTCATTATAAAAGGAAGAGGGTGGTTTTGAGGCAGGGGGACGCAGCTTAGTGGTGCATTTTTATTTTCTGAAGAATTGACAGGATAAAAATTTAAAGATAAAGAGATTTAACTCTTTGAGAGATATGGAAACCCTTTACACTGGTAGCTTTGAGCAGATAATAAAGCACCATTTGGGAGGATTAAAAGGGGGCATGGTCAACCTTGACTTTTAGAGGAAAAGCCAAGATTTGCATATAACTTAATCTGCCTGTATCTCTGGATCTATCGATCATTTCAATGAAGGGTTTTCACTGAATGTATCCTGTGATTCAGGAAGAGTCAATTTCCTAGTAAACCCCATCCTTCCTTGCACATCATAGACCTCTCCTCTTCCTCCCTGCATGCACTTTTATGTAGCTGTCAGGGAAGGAGCAAAGGGGAATACTTTAAAGCAGTGTTTCCTAAAGTATGGATAGACCTATTTGCTTTGGGCCATCTGCCCTAACTGTCGCCTGCCCCTGCTGCCACCTGCAAGGTTTGCATGTTGGAGCACGGGTTTAGAGACAGTGTATAGCCTGGTGCAACAGGTAGAGCTGCTTGCAAAAAGCATCATCACACTCATTTTGTTTTGCACTATTTATGACGAGTTGGCATTAAGGAAAGCCACTACAGGACAAGTGATATATTAAATACACATACATATGAGCACATACAAATCATCAGGATAGTTTATGGGGTCTGTTATTGCTGATTTTGACCTGCTGCAATGATAGTTTTTGGGCGGTGAGGATTATGCAATAGAGTAATTGAATATAAAAAGTGGTGGCAGTAGCGGGTGGAGTGTCCATCTTTTTACAGACTGCCATTTGCTGCGTGCTTGTTCCAGCTCAGTGACTCGAAAGTAACAAAGGCCAGACAAAGCCAGGAAATCAGCATTTTTAAAAGAAGGCCATAAATGGTATGCAACATACCTTTGTATGTCAGGTATACTTAAAGAATGTGGCAGCAAATGTCACCATATGGTTAGCCTTACTTTTCCTTCCTTATTGGAGGATACAATAGAATGGAATGAACCTACAATAAGGAATCATTAAAACCAGGACACGATTACCTAGACTCACTATTATCTATACTAAAAATGTATGTAAATTCTAAACAATTATCTTCTCTTAGTTGGTCCCTTTTGGTCTGTTAAAGTGACATTAAAGTCAAAAAAAATTTTCACTCCCCCTCAATGTTAATTAAAGCACTTACCTTAAATGATGTCTCTTAATCCGATCTTCTTCTTCATTCCTGTACTTTTCATCTGTCCCTCCAGTGGTGCTGCGGCTCTCGGATCCAGCGCTGACTCCTCTGTCCTTGGAGGCACTTCCGATCCAGTGGTGTCTGCATGCGGGTGCACGCATCCATAGACTTACCTCGCGTTTCTTCTCGTCTCCCGGCCGAAAATCCGAACTGCGCATGCGCCTGCCCCAAGATGCGGCGAAAATGGGGTAAGTAGAAACCGCTGTTAAAGCGGGCTTTAAAAAATAAATAAATAACTTTTTGCATATATCTACTGCTTTCTAGCTAGGACAGGAAGTGTGTTACTGGCAAGATCACCAGGTGAAAATAAAGGGGAAGAAAGCCAGATTAAGGTAAACTAAAGCATCCACCACATTCAAGGTTTGGTAAGCTGTAAGGCACTTTTTTTTCTTGGGGTTCGGTTTAAAGAACCCATGATCTCCCTAAATGCTTTAAAGAACCCATGATCTCCCTAAGTACAGGCTACAGTGGAGTAGTGAAACAATCTGTATGTTTAAAGCCATCCTTACAAGTAAAAAAACATTGGGTTGTCTCTAAAAAGCTTATCAGAGAATGGTTGGGTGATCGTGCAACATCCTACCATCTCCCAATGTCTCCAGGGCTAGGTTCTCTGTTAAACAAAAGCATTCTAGCTGAATGAGTGTTCCTATTTAGGGCAACGGAAAAGAGCTGAACAAAGACAGTCCTGACACCAAAAATAATAGCAAGCATATAAGGTTTTTCAAATGGTTTAGTTCCCCAAAAACACATATCTGGGACTCTTGTGCACTGCCGTATGGACATTGGATCAATTCCCAATTGGCCAGATCAGAAGACAGTCATCTAATGTCCATGGGCGTATTAAATGTCTCCATTAGGCTGGCGATTTATTGCCACCACTCTTTTCTACACCTTACCACGTGTTACTCATGCTTACTCAAAATCTTAAATTCAGGAGCCAAGAAAATTTTCTTTCATCAGATGCCAAATCCCATCAATGGTGCTCGCCAGCGACAATATATTCTGTGCCGGAGCTCAGAGGGGATTGAAGCACAAAAACAAACAGATGCTTTGACACTGAAGAAATTAGGAATTTATGTTTTGTGTGAGCGCTGGGATGAGGCAGATTTCTAGCGTGTGATCTCTGAGGGGTCTGCTTCTGACACTCTCTCTTTACTCGAGCAGGGGGGTTGTCTCGATTTTCACAACAACCAGAAAGTGTCTTGGATGCTCTGCTGAAATTTCTATACATTGGGCAGGAGTGAATGAACCTCCCGATTAGAAGAGGACCTGCAGCTGATCCCAGACACAGTGATGATTGGAAGAGTCAACAGGGAAATAGAGATATGAAGGTTATTAAAATGCTGAATTATTTAGCAGTCCGTTAGTTATGAACCCATCTGTATTGTCCATAAGACTAGCGCTGGGGTTTTTTTGTTACAATAAACAGCTGCGTTGTTACCGAAGTACCTTGTAAGGTTGTAATGTGTGAACCGATACAATTACATAGAATTCAGGAACCAGTCAGTTGAATCCATAAAGAACGGTTTACTTCAAAAAAGGACCATACATTTGTTGTATTCATTTTATATAAGTTTAGGGCTAAAAAAACATTTAAGAAAATATATTTTATAACTGCATTCAAATTTACTTTTAAATTCCACTACCTACAATTGCGACATGCAGTATATGTTCAGATTGGCACAACTGGTGTCACCCTGTCTTTATGCCGCTTGAACAACTACTCAGAAACCACCAAACTGGTTTCTACATAATATGCTGCCCTAAGCAATATCTCTAGGCCTAAATATCAAAAAGGCCAAAACAGGTGGTCTACTCATCTCATGGACAAAGTATTCCGGTTAAAATTGTTTCATGGAAAGCTGACTTTTTTCATTGCCTTTGGGACTCTGGGTTTATTCATAACTTTTGGCGCGAGGTAAATGACTTTATCTCTATGATACTTTGACTACCCAATATACTTAGCACTAAAAACAGCCTGCTAGGCATAATGGGAGACCTGCCGATACCTGTTTATGCCTATACTTTTATGCTAAAAGGTTAATCCTCTGGACGTGGAAGTATCCCTCACCCCCCCCCTCATTAGAAGCATGGAAGAATATCATTATTTGAACCACTCCCTGCACAAAATAACCTATTAATTGCAGAAACAAATTCACAACTATGTGATAAAATTTGGGGTCCATGGTTTGCTTCTTCTCCAGCATCCTACCCTCTGGTTCCTAAATCTATGTGAATATTGCAATGGCAAAACTGTTCTCCTATAAAGGCAGGCCATTCTGTGGCACTGACCTAGAATTCCAGTGCATTAAACTTACAAGGATCTTAAGACATCAAAGTACTTTGTGACAACAGTGATCAAAGTCTGCAGATTGATGATAGATTGCCTTTGTCTCTTCAATCACTTTCATTCATTAGTGATCAAACGCTGGGTAAAATTGTCTGAAAGTTACTTTATGTAAGCCAGAATAGGGGTGCGCTGATAGAATACCCCTAAAATGAGGAGAGTAGTAATCTGCATTGACCCCGCAGGGTGATCATGTTATTGTTGACAGGCAAAAAGAAAACCCTTTATTTTTCCCCCTAGTTCATATACCCTGTGCTGAACTATTTTTGCTTTTGTGTGTGTGGGGCCCATTGCTGCGAAAGAGAGTGTCAGTGAATAGCTTTAGACAAACATTTGTCGTTTTTTAAGATTTTCAAGGAAGACAACATAAAAATTTCTACTTTTATATTTCCATACACGTCCCAGTCTTCTTTGGTAACAATCTTCCCTCAGTGATCCTTTATCACTGAGTACCCTCTTTTTTTGCCAGTCAATGTTATGTTACAAGACTGAGTGGACAGTATTATATGTAAATCACTGACGTGGGTTAAAATTTGTATGGTTTTTGATCTCCAGAATACCTATGCAAAAAATGTTTAAAAAGAAAACCCTCACCTACTGCACTCAGGGCATGTTTCAGTTCCAGTGTGAAGGCTGTGAGCGGCACATCTTCCGATACTGGCAGTATGGCTACTGTGGAGAGATTGCTGGATGGATTCCCAGAATCCCACTTGTTGCCAGTGGTATGAAGCCCCAGTCCATGACCTGTGGACAAGAGAAGAAGTAAAATAGTAAAGCCATTGGTTACACAGATGCCATGTGAGACGTACATAGGCTGCCACTGCAAATCAAGATTTACATATAAATTCATCTACCTAAAACTCTATTAATCCTACTGGCATGCTTTCTGCTTCTGTTGTTCCATTCTTTCTGACAGAGGGCAGGTAGCTATGCCATCTGGTGCACGGATTAGTGCAGCTTGGCATGTGACTAGCCATTTTTCCTTGCAAACAAATTCACCAGTTGGCATTTATTTTTTTAAGAATGTACAAAAGTCACCATAACCCTTTCAGAATGGATTAAACAAAACCACAGTTCTCTTCTATTTAATAGGAAAGTCAGCATGTTGGCTGCCTCAGCAGTGTATCAGCAAACACCAATGCTATCACATAGGAAGAAGTTGAGTGAGTCACAAGCTCCTTATACCTAGGTATTTTTCTTCACCCCAAATAGAGAGGCAGGGAAGTGAAGCAAAGCAAAGGTGAGCAAACGTCGCTACATTGACCAGGCATTAAAGTGAACCTTTTGCTGTGCCCTACATGGGCTGAGCACTGGTGCACTTTAAAGAATATCCGCAACCAAAACGTTTCATTTTATTTCAGATAGAGTGGGGAGTGGTAAAAAAAAATCCCTGTCAAGTTTTCTTTACCAACTGTGTACCATTGGGAGATTCCCCTTCACTTACTTTCCTGCAGACTGTCAGCAACCCTCACCTTCTGCGCGTGCGCCAAATCCAGTTCTCTGTGATGTTCATAGAACACTTGGGCCCATGTGCATGACGCATAGGAAAACGCGCCAAATGCCGCACCTGGTCCCCGTGGTCCTGCAGCAGTCACTGCTTACCTCACTCACCCTCTGCTCCAGCAGTGGAATGTCACTTTGAGTCCTTGTGAATAATGCACTTGCATTAGACATGATGATGTCATGGGTCCTGGAGCCCAAGGGAAAAAGAGGCTGCGGAGACTGGTCTAGCAGCCCAGCAGGACAGAGGATCGGGTGAGCATTTCTTCTTTATTTTAGCCCCCAGACCAAAACGCGCAGTTATCCCTTGCAGTGTAGTGGTAGCCCTCCTGCAAGGGTTAATTTTTACAATTCCTGGAGTTTAGCACAAGTGCTGATATAACCACAGTATAGTACATTCAAAGTTAAATATATACAGAAAAAAACCTCTTCAGTTGGTGTATGTAGTCCTTTAAAATCCATCATATCCTTATGCAACCCAGTAAGTATAACAACCATAAAGTGGCTGCAAACCTGCAGACTCGGAATAGTGATGTCACCCTCTTTATGCTATAATTATAGCACAGCAGGTAAATTCTAACATTATACACATTACATTACAAATCTTTTCAGCAGAGAAAAACGTGTTCCTACACCTGCGTTTCCACAATGTATTGAGCTGTTTGTCTGGGGTTGCCCTTTAAATCTTTCAATGCCGTATTGTCTGCTTTGAAAACTGAAGCAGCGGTGTCTCTATCTGAAAAAACAATCTGGATTTGTGGCGTTTATGGATATCAGAGACTTAATCCTTCACAATGTGCTTCGGTTATGCAATGTGTTTATTGTTGGAAGCAGCACGTCCTCAGTCATGAAAAGGCACGGCGGCGGCTGGGGGTCCGACCTCTGCTGAGGGACTCGCTCTTTGTACCTCTCTGCTTCTGCTATGTGCCTGCTGGGAATCCTTTCAATAAGATACCTTTACACTTTTGTCAGCAGTGCGAGAAGGATAACAATAAAAAGAAAACTGCAATTCAGCCTGGGCACGTTCGCCTCTCTTGTGAAACAAAACCAGCCCCCTCCACGGAAAACTTCAAAAGAGAAACTGGGATTTGAAGTGAGGAGAGAAGGAGATAAAAAAAATGCTGGATCATGATACAAAGTCAGGATTGTTACAGCTGAATTGTTCCGCCAGTGGCTTTAGAATAGCAGAGAGAGATTTCACTTCATTAAAAAGGATGAAATTCCACAGGACCACTGAAGGTATATTAAGGCAGCAAAGCAGTTCTTAGGCATGTGACACTGCTAGTTGATAAAGGGCCACCCCACCTAAACCTGCTTATTCAATGCCTGGTTGACCCTGGAGGGTTAGAGTTAATGGGATTGATTTACTAAAGGCAAACAGGCTCTTCATTTTGCAAGGGAATTTCACCTAAGCTTAGTAAACGAGGTAACAAAAAAAGTATGTACAGCGCTCTCAAAAGAAGAGGGGTATTTTAACTTAAATGTGGTGGGCAAAATGATAAGTGAGCAGCTCAGAGAAACCAGGCGGGGATACCTGTACGACAAACTTCCAAAAATACAAACAGGAGGGCATACACTTTACCATTAGAATTTGGGTATGCTGTAAGAGAAAGAGGACTTACATGGTGTTGGCGAGGACAGAGTTTCATGCAGCCCGAGTGGAGGATCAGTATCCTGTGGGTGCTGTGATGCTGTGCCTCGAGGGGACGACTGTGACGGTTCCAGTGACCAATCTTGCTGTAGTGGGGTCCAGGAGAGATAGTGTGGTGGAGGAACGGTGTAGCTTACCACACGATCTCTCCTGGACTACAGCAAGATTGGTCACTGGACCTGTCACAGTCGTCCCCTCGAGGTGCAGCATCACAGAACCCACAGTACACCTATCTGTAATCTGTAAAAATCTGTAAATTAAACTGGCCAGCTGGTTAAAATTCAACCAGTGTGTGGCTTTGTTGACGGCCGCCTCCATTCAACACAAAGTCATCTTTCAATTGACTTTTGTCACCGGTCCCAAAAATCACAACCGAAGTGACTGCAGCCAATCAGAATACAAGACACAGGCACGGGGGATTCCCCCCTGCAGAATCCCCCGCTCCATGTTGTTAACATGAATGGGGAAATCAAGAGTTGTTTCTTGTTTAACCTGCGGGACTGAACAAGAAAAATCCAACAGCGTTGGGTGCACCTATGTATGAAAACAACGATCGCGCTACACATGTTGGGTATCGCCACGCACGACGGAGTCAAAGCAATCACTTTAAGGCCAATATTTATGCATATCTCTAAATTGATGACCTTTTAAATCGTCATCTATGGACTTTTTGGGGTACTGAATTTTGTCAGTTTCACGGACGCACACAATTTTTAACCTGGGCATGTTGGGTATCAATTTACTCGTTGTAACCTCATATTTTATAAACAAAATGGGTATTTAATTGTGTTTTGGGGAATTTAAGGGCATTTTTCAAAAAATGTTGGGGTTTGATAATATTGCCAGTATTGCCTGTGGTTTCCTTGCAGCAGATCGCTCCCCATTACTGATGCCTTGTTCTGCACTGTGTTTCTGTGAGGAGGTGGCCATTTTGGTAGAGGCAGGGCTCTGCTTCCTCATGTCCGAGCTTCCAGTAAGGAAACAGTGAGATGACCAAATCTGAATCCAATTCAGGTAAGACTAGCAGTCAGAGGCAGCAGTGCGCAGAGCTCTTACAATGCAGATATACAGCAATGAAGCTGCAATACAGGAGTGTCCAGGCACCCTCACATACCAGGAATCAATTAACTAACTTTATATGCTTAATAAGCAGGGCTTGATGAAGGCAAAAGGCGCAGATCAACTGGGATGCAGACCGTGCGGATTTATGCCCAGGCATGCTGGCTAGTTGTGCTTTTCAGCCAGGCAGCATGCTGAGTCTCCGCAGGGAAAGATGAGTCATTGACTTGTAACCAAGGAAACATCCCGTTCAGACCGATTACAGCCACTGACCGAGCACCGTCAGCAGGTTATGTGGAAAAGCTTCGGCAGCTGAGAAAAGAGTAGCGTTATCCTCCCTACAAACAAAGCTCGGAAGATGCCACGTAAGGTCAAAAAATGCTGCAGGGTTTGGGTTACACTAATGATCCCCTGTGCCCATCCGTGAGCTGCACTCCAGTTCCCTGTGGCGTTCCTAAAATGATTTTTATCACAAATAAGTCATTAGATGCAACATAACAACGAAACATGCAGCCAGCTTTGTGATAAGCCAGCAGTGAGTAACGAGAGCCTAGTAAAAAGAGTGATGCTGCCATATCAGAAGCTCTCCTTTATTCTTTAGCATGCACTACAAAAGAGAGCAGCTACAAATCAGGTGACCGCACTGCTTCAACTGACACCGCTTCTTACACGTCAGAGTAATCAAGCCATGAAATGCATTCAGCATACACAGCCTCTCTAGGGTTTTGTCTAGATTTTCTGCCTTTCAACCAGCATTCCTGACTCACTGTACCACCCCACTTTATAAATCCTGATGTTCTTGGGACACCATCCTGTCCATGACTTGTACCAGGTCATCCTAATCCCAGTCCCAACTGTATACCTCCAGTCACATGACTAATCCTAGTCCTGCTTTACACCTCCTGTCACTTGTCTAATCTTTTTTTTTTTTTTTACTTGTCTAATCCTAGTCCCAATTTCACAGCTCCTGTACAGGGTCAATAATCAGTAACAGCCTGGTCACAGAAAGTATAAACTGATATACAGAGAATATATTGGTTAAACTTAATTCTCCCTCTCCCTGCAGCACATATTCACCTATCCTTTACTCCCCCACAACTCCATAATCACCACTGGGAGCTTAGAGAGATGACCAGTACAAAACAGTACCTGATACAAAGTGTGACTCACTCTGCTTCCTCCCCCAGTCGTTCCACATGTGGTGGGTAGAGAGTCATTTGCTATGTGTAAGCTACAAATCATGGCTTGGAGATTGCACGGGACTTCCTCTCTCAATAGAGCAGCATCAAAGGGCCTAGGGGAAGGAGAGTAGGTGCAGCTGGGGAGGGAGGAAGTTAAATGAACCTGTTGCTTTGATCTGCATTGGCAAAGCACGAGGTCACCTTATAGTGCTTGGCGCACAGAAATGGTACTGCATACAAGAGTCAGAGACTGGCTAGAGAAAAGTATAGCTGGCCACAAACGACTTGATATTCAGTTCATTCAATTACTGTGAATGGACTTAATTTGAGCCGTGGGTGGGGAAGAATGGAAAATTGTCTGCCAATCAGGTGCAGTCACCATTTGGGTATTGAAGCAGCTGTGTACAAGGGGAATCTCCTGGTGGGAGAGATTTCACACTGTTTCTCTCGTTCAGACCATTTCAGAAAAAAATGAATGTGTATGGCACATTTTATAAAAGTCTGCCAATCATATCTGCAGTTTTCTTTGCCTGGGGATTGTGTAAGAATTATGCATATTAAAAGTAAAACAATTTCTTGTTTCTCTTTTGTTATGTATTATTGCTATTGGCTGCAAACATTGGTAATGTATTTACATATACATGACTAATTGAATGTATTCTACCTGTGGGCATATAACATGTAAGATTTAAAGATTAAACATTTAAGATTTGGTAAAAAAAAGCAAAAAAACAACAACAATGCCACATAAGAAGCTGACATTGGACTACTAAATAGTGTTTGCGGCTCTTAGCTCTGATGTAAAGGAGAATTTAAGGACTCCAGGGTAGTTTTGCGGCAGACCAGGTGCTACAAAAACAACTCATGGTTTCTGAAAGGAAGGCGATTATTTCTCTTCAGCACTACCCACAGTAGCTGTGACAGGTGTTCTTTAAGAGCTAATGGAAAAGAACCTGCAAACATGTTAAGCTGCAGCAGACATTAGGATGAAGAAACAGAGGATTCTGGGTCTTTAGGATGTTCTGATAATAACGGAATGATTCTGACTTGGCTGGCATACAGCCCCATTCCTAAACAATTAACAACCTCCCAGCTGGCCCGGGCTCAATTTCTCACCTGCAAGGGGCCCGTTGACCTGCTGCAAGCTGCCAAGAATCTTCTCTCCGAGCAGATGAATAAGCCGGGTCACCACCTGAATGGAGACAAACTTGTGAATTAATTTCTGGAGGAACTATGCCAATCCACCATATGCTCATCAATCAAAGCCCTAATAGCATGGAATCTTTGTGCAAAGCGGCAAGTATTGATTTTCCATGCATTTGGGTAATTGGGTTTCTCCTGAATTATCTTTTACAGTACGCTCCTAGAAAGGGTCATGTACAGTAAAATGATATTAACCCCTTACAACTACAAAGCTGTATTCGGTTAAAAGAGGACAAAGGGAGGCAACGTCTAGCTAGTTAGCTCTGCGGTTTAGTTAGCTCGCTATAATAGAAAAAGAAGGCCTGCATCTTCCCCACGTGCCATGCAGGGAGGCAAAGTCCCCTTAGGCTGGCCACACATTTTAATCTGATTGAACAATCACCTTTACATATACCGACAACTAAACTATGTAGTGAAAGAGCTTGCCCTATATAAACCCTATAATAATAGGCTATAAACCAGCTAGATTGTTTAGGAAGGCTCTCACAGTGCTTTGTTGTTGGAAAATCTAAAAAGTAACCATACATAGTAAGATTACCATCTAAAAAAAAGTTTTTCCTATATTAAATTACTTTCACTGCTTATGTTGCATTTGTAGTTTAATTGATGGTGAATGATGTTTAACCAGTGCTGGACTCTAGGTTGCCATGGAGACAAAAACATGGTCACTAATGTAAGAAATGTGAGGCCCTGACACAAGGAACACATAAAATTTGTGTGCCGCTCTGGAAAGAGTCTGGTCTTGTATGGTTTTGTTTTAAGTGATTTACAAGCATACAGAAACAGTGGCATTTATTTATTTCTCACAGGTATTTATATAGCGACGTCAGCTTACAGTGATACTGCATTTTATGAGTGTACGAGAAAGAGAGAGGGAGGAATGATAGCAAGAAAGAAGGCAAAAGAAAGGAAGACAGAGAAACAGTGGAAGAAAAAAATGTGGGGAGAAAAGAGAGAATTAATAAAATGGAGAAAAAAAAAACCGAAACAAAAGGAGGAAAACAAGAAGAGCTTGTTAAAGATATAAAGTCAAATCATTTTTCTCCAGATTTGGATAATGCTGAGAAGGGTAAGAACCCTTGAAGGTTATTATTGCTGTCTGTGAAGAGAGCAGAGTGATGACCTCATCAGTCTGCTTCTGCTCTTTGGACCTGTTAAACCTAGCTGTACTGTTTAACTGCACCAAAGGAAAGTGATTGTCACAATGTTGGCTGTGCTGTGTTGGCAGGGCTCTGTAAATCTCAGAACTGGATTGGCCGAACTATAAAATTATATGGCTGGGATAAACAGCTCCAATATATTTATTTTAATAGTGCCTTTAGGTGTTTGTCTGGAGCACTGCTTTAAACTTCGCAGGCAGGAGATGTGATTACAATACCAACAAAGGGCAGTATCAACAGGGCACACAGTCAGTAAAATCTGTCAGGAAGGAGATACACGTTACTTAGCAGGCATGCATATGAAAAGGTTTTTGATGCAAGCTCCTATTTAAACAATAGCACCTATTCTGTCTATTTCCTTACATATTTAGCTTATATGTCTGGATTATATATATGTGCCATTCGATTCCCCCCCCCATACTATTTACAGGAGGTAACCAGTTACACATAAGGGGGATTTTACAAACCAGGGAGGATGGTAAATTAATTCCTAAGTCTTTGTTGTGAGTGTTAAAAGAAAGGATGACAAAAACACTCATGTTAAGAGCTAATTATGTGACAATCCTGCAGTCCTCGCCAACGCAATGCAAGAGAGACAGGAGTGTTGATGTGTGATGCCCCCACAGCATAATGACCAAAACATCTCTCCCATTTCCAGTGACTCACCGCCTGGCAAATACTATAAAGAGGCAACAACACTATAACACGATCATTCAGAGAAGTCTAAGGGTCAGTCAACCCAATATATATATTTCAGTTATGGGTAAAGTCTGCTGGGATGAGTCACCCACGGATACTGTTTTGATCCATTTGGGGACTCCAGCACCAAAATATCTCTTATAATGTTCCTCGCTCTGCTCCTGTACAGCAGATGCCCCAGGGGTGTTCCCTTTGCATTATTTAACAGGTACAGTAAGTTCCCCTAATAATGTCCCAGCAAGTTATTCCCCTAATGGTCCAGTTGGTTCCCTAATAATGGCCCAGTATTGTTCTAACAAACAATGGCCCTTTCTAACAAACATACAGTGTTAGGGTTGTGCCATCGTCATGATACCATTGTGATATTTTTTTAGGATGCTATAACACACATCTTTTTCTGCCCATTTATTTATTTTTTGCACATCTTAGAAGGTAATTAGTTAAGTCAAGGAAAGAAGAACATAGAGAAACAAAAGCTTAGACCTGTGTCTGCATCAACAATGGGTTGGAGTCCGGGCACCTTATGAAAACAATATGAGATTATGAAGATATTGTTGCAACACTAGGAGAGGATGATTATCATATTGTACTGTACAAAAGTGGTGGACAGCGGTATAACTAAAAGAAAACTTGAAGATGTCTCTTGGTCAGACAGACCACCAGAGGTCATCACTCTGGACAAGATGCACAAAACAGTACTGTATGATAGATGGTTATTGGTCAGGCACAAACCTGGGACATGTCAAAGATGACAGATGATCTCATCCTAAAAGAACATCTGGCAATGGCTGCTGCCCATTGGGTCCCAAAGCTCCAGAACCCTCAAGCAAAGGTTGATCAGAAGGAACGTGTCCTGGGACAATCTTGCATTGTTAATCTTACAGCCATTTCACAAATATTCCTTAAAATTGTTGTAACAATGGATGAAATGGGGGCAACAACTCTTTTCCAGAGTCAAAGCAACCAATAAAAAAACACTCCAAGCCACAAATCAGCAGTTACCATGAGCTGGAAGTACTTCAGAATACCTCCAAAAAAATTTAACTGATCAGGCTCCTCAGACTGTCATTTGTTCCTTAAAGAAGGACTTTATTTGGCAATAGAGAACAACACTATTGTTGCTGTGGAAATCAATTTTAACACCTATTTATGGTGAGGCTTAGAACTCATTAGACAGTCCTCATAAGAAAGTGGAGTGAAGAAATGTAGATATCTCTAAAGCTGGCCATACACTTTACAACCATCGCACGACTTTCGTCTCACGATGGTTGTAAGGTAATTTAAAAAACGTACGATCTGCCCATCTTGGACAGGCAGAACGTACTTGCGATAATCGCAAACCCGCCCCGCTGAGGGAAGGGCTTCCGATGACTGCAATGCTGAGCGTGCAGTGTGCGCTTGCGCACACCGGCCCGTGCAGCATTTGTCTTCCGAGCACGCCACAAACCCGACGAAAATCTTAAGATTTTTTGGCTGGTTTTCAAACGTGCTCGTAAGACAAAAGACGTGCGACCATACAGTAGAAATGGAAAGGATTCTTGTGTCTGAGACACTTAATCTATTGCTGCCTTTTGGTTCCTGCTTTTATGGATTATTTAATGAAGATGGAGTTCAGACTCCCTTGTTGCAATCGAGGAACACTGAGTGCTTTAGAATATTCTCTGTGAAAGGATTGAAAGTATGTGCCCAGTGTGTAGGCATCCTTTGAATAACTGATAGTCTAGGATGGTTTGTCCCGGACAATCCCTATACCTCCCCTGCCTAACACCGAGGGTATCTACTTATAAGCATGCATGCTCAGACTGCTACAAACATGCACCTTTATACTTCACTCATTCTAACAAAGGATAATTTGTTGCTTCCATTTCATGTATAAGTGCATTTTACATCTCAACAAGTGATGAGAGGAGGTTCTGTATGTAAGTTTGTGTTCCAGAAACCCACAGAAATAGCAGAAATGTTGGAAACCGGTTTTGTCTGCTGGTACTGGGTCCAAACTCTCAGAAACACTATTTTCTTTTCACAAAGGAAAGAAGACACGAGTAGTCACTTTACATAATTAGGACTAAACCAGTTGTTTGCCTAAACTTATTTAAAGGAAACAGTAACAGGGATCATTATAGTCTAATCCCTTTAGGGCAGTGGTTCTCAACCTGTGGGTCGGGACCCAAAAGTGGGTCGCGACCCACAGTTGAGGGGGTCCCCACATGCCTTGTGCTGCTCTAGGTAAGAGGCTCCTCAGCCTCCTCCTAGCGCAGCAGTGTCAGTTCTCCTAGATGGTGCTGCAGCAGCAGTGGCCAGAGAGGATCAGAGAGAGGGGAGCAGGCAGACGTGAGGGGAGATGAGTGCTTGATCACCACAGAGCCCACACTGGACGCCTACAGAGAGTCCCACTAGCCACCCGAGAGCCCGCATTGCCTTCCAAGAGCCCACACAGATACTAGTATTGGTGCATCCCTACATTTTACGGTTGGGGGTCACCAAAACTTGGCAAATGTTACCAAGGGGTCCCGGCCCTAGAAAGGTTGAGAACCACTGCTTTAGGGGAACATAATTCATCCCTATGTGTACTGCTGCTCTTCTTGTATCAGCGAATAAACACTTCACGCAAGCTAGCTCCTAATAAGCCATAGTGCTTTTATTAACTAGACACATCTTATGCTGTCCAGGAGAAAACCCGGGAACTGATTACAGATGAATACACACAGGAGAGGTCAGCGGGCCAAAGAGTGATCAAGTGAGCACAATGACTGTTCTCTGATGTAAACAACTGGCCAGGCCACTGGAAAATTACAAACGTATTGATTAAAGCTGCTTCTCTTCTAATGTCTCACATGAAGGAGGACATGCGTCACTTACCTGTGGATACTTGCGTTTGATGGATGTCAATGCTCCCTCTGGGAGTTTGGCAAGTTCCGAGTCTCGTACGGCGTGAACGGTTGTGGCTCTGGGTTGGTGTGTTAAGGCTTCCACCTATAATCACAATGAAGAAACATTGCAGGATTGATATAGAATTTCTACTGCTTGATTACTCTACATGGCCAAACAAAATTAAAAAAAAACCAAGAAAGGCCATAAAAATGGGTCGCGACCCACAGTTGAGGGGGTCCCCACATGCCTTGTGCTGCTCTAGGTAAGAGGCTCCTCAGCCTCCTCCTAGCGCAGCAGTGTCAGTTCTCCTAGATGGTGCTGCAGCAGCAGTGGCCAGAGAGGATCAGAGAGAGGGGAGCAGGCAGACGTGAGGGGAGATGAGTGCTTGATCACCACAGAGCCCACACTGGACGCCTACAGAGAGTCCCACTAGCCACCCGAGAGCCCGCATTGCCTTCCAAGAGCCCACACAGATACTAGTATTGGTGCATCCCTACATTTTACGGTTGGGGGTCACCAAAACTTGGCAAATGTTACCAAGGGGTCCCGGCCCTAGAAAGGTTGAGAACCACTGCTTTAGGGGAACATAATTCATCCCTATGTGTACTGCTGCTCTTCTTGTATCAGCGAATAAACACTTCACGCAAGCTAGCTCCTAATAAGCCATAGTGCTTTTATTAACTAGACACATCTTATGCTGTCCAGGAGAAAACCCGGGAACTGATTACAGATGAATACACACAGGAGAGGTCAGCGGGCCAAAGAGTGATCAAGTGAGCACAATGACTGTTCTCTGATGTAAACAACTGGCCAGGCCACTGGAAAATTACAAACGTATTGATTAAAGCTGCTTCTCTTCTAATGTCTCACATGAAGGAGGACATGCGTCACTTACCTGTGGATACTTGCGTTTGATGGATGTCAATGCTCCCTCTGGGAGTTTGGCAAGTTCCGAGTCTCGTACGGCGTGAACGGTTGTGGCTCTGGGTTGGTGTGTTAAGGCTTCCACCTATAATCACAATGAAGAAACATTGCAGGATTGATATAGAATTTCTACTGCTTGATTACTCTACATGGCCAAACAAAATTAAAAAAAAACCAAGAAAGGCCATAAAATTATTTTTGAGTAATTAAAAATATTTTTGCAGAAAATTTACAATAACTTAAAATGAGATATAGCATGATCCTCTGTAAAGTATCTATTAACTTTGGTGTCTATATGTCTTTTCAATCCTGTAAATGCTGAGGAGCATGGAGTACCAGCGAGGAGGCACATCTATGTGAAGATTAGGAGGGGGTGGTACAGACTCCTGATTTTTGGGTGTTAATAAGAAATTGGAGCTGTCAGCTAAGGCACACCATTCTTCTCCCTTTCTTTTAGCTATGACCCCTGCCACTGCCGTTGCTGGAGCCTTTAAGACTGGATATGACTTGTGTGGAAACTTCCTGCTAAAGGGGACATAAATGTTTATGGAAGCTTTATGTTTTTTATGTTTCTGTTACTATAAATTCGATCTGAAGCTTTCACTGTGAAGCTCCAATAATTTGTAAGCAGTTCTCGGAACTTTCCAATAAATACAGCATTGATCCTGAATATTAGCAGAAGTTAGTCCAGTCACTCAAGAGTATAATCCATCACAATAACACATGCAGAGAGACCGTGTGTAGCACATGATAAAATTGACGAGGCTTGTTATTTGTAAGTGAAACTATACCTAATTCCAATCAGTACTAATAAGTCACCTTGAATGGGATGTGTATGGATGGCTTGATGTAACTACCTTTACTAATGTATGTTTAAAAAAAAAGAAATCTAACTTGGATCTAACTAGATCTACAGCACTGTGTATCATAGACAATCTCCCTGTTTATTTTCACAAAATACTATATAAATCTGTTTTGTATCTCAATGCTGCTGATCTGGCTTTCAGATGGTGTCATCAGCAGACCATGCCCCAGCAATGTATGATGGAATGGTCACTTGTAGTCTTTAACGGGGGCGCATGTGACAGAGTGACATTGCAGAAGCATATTCGGGGGCAGTTGTCACCCCATAACAGATAGTGCCAAAACATAGACCCTTATAGCAGGAAAACTGTGAACTATAAAAGCCGGAGATTTTAAAAGGTTGCAAAAACAAATTAAAAAATCACCTTAACAAGTTAATACTTACCGTATATACTCGAGTATAAGCCGAGTTTTTCAGCCCATTTTTTTTGCTGAAAAGTGCCCCCAGATATTTTAGTGATTGGGTTTAGATCTGCTTGAATGTTTTTAAAGCAAAACTCCAATCAGTGTATATGTTTAACCCCTTCATGACTGAGCTTGTTTTTAGTTTCTGTTCGTAAATGACTGACACACTTTTGACATTTTTGCTGTGTGAAATTGGATAGCGTAATTAAAGGGGTTGTAAACCCTCCGTTTTTTTTGCTTATATCTACTGCTAGCATGTAGTAGATATAGGCAAGAAGTGTAAAAAAAAACAAAAAAAAAACCTGTTTAAAATCATTCTAAACTTACCTCGTTATCGCCGCTCGCTCCCGCGCCGAGAATCAGGAGCTGCTCGTACGGCCGCAAAGGATCTTGGGGCGGGCGCATGCGCATTTCCGATTCTCGGCCGGGAGACGAGCAGAGACGCAAGGTAAGTCTATGGACGTGTGCACCCGCCTGCAGACACCGCTGGATCGGAGAGACAGAGCAGTCAGCGCTGGATCGGAGTGACGTCACACCGCTGGAGGGACACATGAAAACATGGGGAAAGAAGAGGAAGATCGGAAAAAGAGACATCATTTAAGGTAAGTGCTAACATTTACATGGGGGGGAGGGAAATTTTTTTTTGCCTTTAATGTCACTTTAAGTTAGTTAGGATTAGTTAGTTCTCCTATCAATTTTATGTTTATTACTATTTTCCGGTTTCCTCCGGCTTCCTGTCTTGGTGGCCACTGGAAAGTGAGGGAGATCTTACAAAGAGGGACAATCATAAAAACTTGGTAGTGTTTTAAAAACTTTCCCCGCTATATCTAAAAATAAAAGCTCTGGTTGGTAAATAAATATGTACATGGCAACAGCATTACATTTACAGCTTCTGCTTGGTTCTTAGTGGTGAGGCAAAGCGATTGTGCCTCACCCCTTTGCTCTCAAAGTAAATCCACTGATCTGCTTGTACCGATTGCAAAAGAGTTTGCCGCCAATGATTATATTTTAATATAATGAGCGGAATTTGGTGGACTGATGCAGTGGCTGGCTACTTATATACTTCCTGGATTCTGGAGGTGAATCTTGGCTATGTTCTTGTCCACTGAGAGTGCTTAGTCACCTCCTTTTGCATTTTCCAAAATATAAAATATATAAAAAAATCCAGAAGGTGGTTCTCTGGTACACTGTCCCTGTATCTCCTATTGTAATGCTTCTATTGAGAGGCACAAGCAGTGCATTATGGGATGTGGAGAAGGCATGCTACAGGTACCCTTCCTCTGTTATAAGGGATTCCAGATGGAATGTGTGCTGTGGGTTGGAGGAACAAGGCAGAAAAGCAAGAGTTGGCATCTTGTGGTTGGTAAAGTGTTGTTGCATAAAATACAGCTATAGTCACAGAAATATATATTGAATCAGATAGACAATGCACCAAAAAACTCAATTTTCATAGTGTTACATCTAATTTTGTGTCTAAACATGACTGTGCAGAAAAGAGGTGCCACAGACTGACCACACAGCCCAGGACACTCTGTAATCTAACAGGCCTGGTCAGACTCACACCCTCCATTCATCAGATCTTGGTTTACTAAAGGAGTAAAGCATGTTCATTTTGCAAAGTCAGTTTTCATTTAGCAAGATAATTTTTCCTTAGCTTAGTGAATGAGATGAAGCTCTGCTGACTTCACCCAGTCATGTCAAGCAAAAAATCCTGTTTTTTAAATCTTCCTTGCACCTGATCAGGAATTCTTTGCAAAGTAAATTTTAACCACATTAATTCAAAATGTCCTTCCATAGTGAACATGCGTAATTCCTAGCGATGCACCGATACCGGTTGTCCGTTATCGAGTACCGATATTTTTTTTCCGGTACTCACCGATACCGAATACCTATACCGGAAGTCCCATTAAGGAAGTCGGGTGGAGTGTAATGACTCGCCGTCCAGCTTCCCGAGCAGCTGGAAAGCTGTCTCCATGCTGCCTCCTCACCAGGTGACGAGGAACCATGGAGGTGGCTTTCTGGCCAATCAGTAACACCGGGGGCGGGTAATGACTCGCCACCCAGCTTCCTGATTGGACAGCTTCCTGACCAATCAGGAAGCCGGGCGGGGAGTCATTATACGTCGCCCGGCTTCCTGATTGGCGAGAAGCCAGCCTAATGCTACCTCATCATCAGGTGCCGAGGAAGCGTGGAACCGGTTTTCTGGCCAATCAGGGAGCTGGGAGACAGACAATGACTCGCAGCCTGGCTTCCTGATTGGCCAGCGTTCCGACCATCACCAAGTGACGAGGGAGCATGGAGCTGGATTCCCAGCCAATCAGGAAGCCGGCTCCATGCTGGGGGGTGGGTAATGACTTGCCGCCTGACCTCATGATTGACCAGCTTTCCGACCATCACCAAGCGATGAGGGAGCATGGAGCCAGCCTCCTAACTGACAGGGAAGCCAGTTCCATGCTCCCTGGTGGCGAGGGAGCATGGAGCCGGCTTCCCGACCACTCAGGAAGCCGGGCGGTGTTTAATGACTCGCTGCCTGGCTTCCTGATACTGGAACTTCCGGTATCAGGATAAGCATCTGGAGCATTTGGGTGAGCACTAGTAATTCTTTTAGTAAATCTCAGGACACTTTTGATGAGAGGCATTACTTATTCATGTCAGCATAGAGCACTGGAGTGGGGTGTGCAGAAGCTCATTTCCACATGAACACAAAAACTATTTTTTACGCACTTCCAAATCAGTCAAAAATCACAACATACAGCAATACAGGACTAGGTGTTATCTTTCATTTGGGCTTTAACCCTTTCGCTGCCAAGCCCTCCGGAACATTTTTCAAATCAGCTGGCCAAGCCATTTTTGAATTTTCTGCAATTTTTTCCTATTGATTTGATTTTCAATTGCTGCGTTGCTAGCGTTTGTAAAAGACCCCGCAAACCATATATTTTCTGAAAGCGCAGGCCCGGTAGAATAAAAAGATGGTGATACTAAATTTGTAGGCATGGAAAGTTTGCTGTAAGTAACAATTACATCTTACAAAAAGTATCAGAGCAAATGAATAACTTATGATTTTTGCAGTTTTTGAAATGTGGGAAGTAATTTACACTTGTCAAATTTTGGTGGTATCCAACGTATCTTGTAACTGTGCATTATTAAGATGGATAGACAGACAGATGTAAATAGAGATACGTCAGTTTTTGCTGCAGTTGTCATGGCGGTTTATCATGCATCCTAAACTTAACCCCCCTGACGCTCTGCTCCATGGAAACATTACAGCAACATGTGCAGCTTTAAATCCCAAGCTTTTCCAACACCAATTCTAATTAGTAGAGATTACAGGTAAAACAAACAAAAAAAGTAGAAACAAGCTTACCTAGCAACTGCATGCTGCCTCTTACTGCGCACATACGTCAAGCTCTATTTTGGTTTTGCAGACAGAAAAAGTAACAGATAACAGGGACAGCGCTATATGCAGACACGCAGCCAGTCCCTCAGGAAATGCTGTCTGACATATAAGCATGTACCAATTCATTACAAAAAAGGAACAGTGCAAGCTGTAGTAAAGATGCTGCCCACTCCATAGCAACCAATTTCTTTTATTTTCAAACTTCTGCAGGAAAAATAACAGATGGACTCTGATTCGTTCGTCAGAGCACTTGATCATGCCATTGTTGAGTCACCTAATTCTGTTTGAAAACCCCTAACAATTCCATTCAGATCTGCCACTTGAATGAAATCTTAGATGTAATAAACAGATTTATTTTGTACTTAGAACGTGTGAATTAAAATATGTATGGCTTCTCCTGAATGAAACCACATTCACGGTTAGAATTTTGTTCATTAGGATAAGAAATTAGAGAAATTTTCCAACCTGCTCCTTAAATTTTTCTCATCACTACAGTTGAAAACGAACATCAATTAGACCCCAATAACCAATAGAAAATCAAAAGATCCCAAAAAAAACAAAAACATTTTGAAAAAAATCTACTGGTATTTGGCCAGCCTTCAATGCACACAGATGAGGAGAGAATTACTTCAGCAGCCATTGTTGACTTGTATTGAAAGGGGATAGTTTCCAGAGCTGTCATCCTGACTATTGTAGTGAAGCCAGGATGAGCATGCACCCCTACACACTCCCATATTCCTGTTCTCATGGATTCTCCAAGTGAAAACTGTTGGTTATGTGTTAGATGAAGAACTGAGATCTTGAGGAATGCTGAATTAAGTTTGAATTGCTTAGAAGGACATTACATGTATGTATACAGCATTGTGCAGGAAACATATATATTAGGTAAACCTCCTGTGTATCATAGATAACCATGCATATAGAAAACTAACATTGCACTAAAGCTCCATCTACAGCTGAAACATATCAGTATATGCTGTTGTATTTCCAACAAAAACACTACCCTTTTCTGTTAGACTGGTGTTCCTATTTAAGGATATATATGAAGCAAGGACGGCCTTACAGTAAGTCACAGTGATTAGAAGTATATCTATGACTGTGTCACCAATGGCCGCACAATATGAGTGCAGAGGACATTGTGGACACAGATCCAGATCACAGAATTCTGCTGATTCCAGCTAAAACAACTCGCTATAAATCAGGCACTTAACATGCGAATTGGATGGTTGAGCCGACCTCTATTCCTCCCGACACCAAGATGTTTCTAGGGCTGAGAGATTTATGAGCTGTGCAATTAAGCAGAGCTGAATTTTAATGCTTGCTGGAAGCAGGGCATCTCTGTGATAGTGCAATTACATGGATAGTTATGTGCCAGAAGTGTCATTTAGTCAATGCTGTTACAAGTGTGATTAAAAGTTACCATCCTACCCGGCTTCTCCAGCAATGACTGGTGCTGTTTAAATAAATGGAGTTATTAGGGACATATAGGAATTTAATTATAGAGTAGACTGGAGGAAACACTGCATGACACACAGCGCAGCCTTTACAAGACATTAATAAGAAAAGTAAAACAAAAATGCAATTATTTATTGTATGTACTAGTGCTGTGCTTGCCAAGTGCCCGTAATACCAAATAAAAGAAATAATCAACAGCAAGATTATCCAAAGTGTAAAGATGTCCTCATAAGTGCTATACTGTATTGTAAAAGAAAGGTATACCAATTCAGTTTAAAATGAACGTATAAGATTAAAGTAGAAGTCAAAACTTTTCTTTTAGTTTTGGGTAGAGTAAGGGAGGGTTATAATATAACCCCTGTCACATTTTATTGCCATGTATGTCCCAATAGGGAGATTTCCCTTCACTTCCCGTCCAAAAGCCACAGCAGGAAGTGAGAGGAAATCTTTATAAATAGCGGAAATCCCTGGTGGTCAGCAGAACTAGTGTACCCATTGGAAGATTTCCCATCTATTTCTGCTCAGATGAAAACCCAAAGCAGATGCCTCTCCAAGAACTAAATGGGGAGAGAAGTATAGCTATCATCAAACAAGTCACTTGAGTGCTGAAAGCCACCTCTATCTTCAACCTTCACTAAAAATAAAGGAAACAAATTCTGCAAATAGAAAACTAAAGCAGCCACTACACCTAAGAACTGGTAAGCTTCATTATAGTTTATGCTCTTGGGTTTAGAAACGCTTTAGAAAGGCTCATTACAGATTGCCAAAATTATCTTTCCGTGGTATTGCAGGACAGACGTCCATTAAGTGTAGAAGAAAAATACCTATGCAGGAGTTGAATATCAGTTATCTCTGGATTTCAGAAGCTGGTAAAACTAGTATGCATATAGCCAAAGGTTTAATGAAAATGGCTGAATTTAGTTTTACTGGTCCTTTAAAGTATCAGAGGCCTGGGAATCAAGTATGGAAGTCATGGTCTAAGCCTATAAGGGAATAACCTTACCACTCCAATCAGGTCTCCTCTGCCATATTCACCCGTCAACTGCTTCTTCCCATCATCCTTCCTGATGACAGAGCGGAGGCGTCCATTAAGCACAATGTAGGTGCAGTCTGATTTATCCCCTTGCCTAAAGAGAGGATGACTTGGTGAGTGTATGAAATATTTATATATAGGGCAAAAAAAAGCCAACAGTCACTCCGCCTGGGAGTTAGGAGTGTTCCCGCTAATCCTTTTGTGTTCCAACTCCTTTAAAGGAGAACTATGAGGTGAGTGATTTCCACTCATCCTCATAGTTAGAGCCGAACTGTGACAAAAAGCTGTCACAGGTCGGCTCTATCGATCGGGAAGTGAGCAGAGACATGCTGCCGATCCGTTCACTTCCCGATCATCTCCTTGCATCACTCCCAGCAGGGATTCCCCTCTCCAATCCTCCAGCGCTGAGTGGAGGAACAAAAAGGGGAAGTGGCGGGCACAGCTGGCTCTGCCTCTAGATAGGCAGAGCCAGCTGTCACTCACGCAGCTGGGTGGATCCAGACAGTAGTGTCGGGATCCGTCCCGGCTGCGGTGCTCTCAGTATATCGCTGAGCTTTGGGTCACGGGAGAAGGTTAGTATATGTCCTCCCGTGACCCTAAAGAGAACTATGGGAAAAACCACTTACCCCATAGTTCTTTTAATTTCATTCTCCATAATAGAAAATACATACAATTCCAGTATTATGTATAATGGCCACAACAGGAACTCAACATAGTGACTTCACCAAAAGAGACAATTCCAGATAGTTTAACTCTTCAGCATTTATCAAAACCAAAGTGTCAGCTTTGGGTGGCCTGACCTCTTAAAAAAGTGTTGGTGGGGGAAGTTTGGATCCCTTGTGTGACAATACTCATGCACTGTATCTATGGAGGCAGCCATGGTTGTCACACAGGATGAACTTCAAACAGGTCTCCCTTTGTTATTCTCCATTTCATGGTAAATTGACGGAACTAGTAGTTTATACAATAAAGATAAGATTCTTTGTGCTTTCTTTTTATCATACAAGTGACCAGGACACTGCACTTCTGCCACAATCGACAAGATATTTTCTGTGCTTGTTAAAAATATTCTTTGCTTGAAAAATGAAAACTAATATAACCACCGCATCTGAAGACTGGGAAGCTGCAATTACATTCTCGTCCTTGAGGTTTCTTATCCCCTAAAGGAGACATTCTGCGTGGTTAGTAATTACAAGTGTTGGACTGAAGCCATCACATAATATACTGTCTTACCTATAGACAGCACGTCCCGCCTCCACCTCCATCCAGTCCAATGCAAAATCAATCTGCCTGACAAATGGAGACATCCGCTTCACCACTGTGTGAGCCACTCCTAGGACCACGCTGGGCTGTTCCCGCATTATTCTGTATTGAGAAAACAAATGTACTCACTTTAAGTAATGCAGGTTCTAAACAAGAATACATAGTACAACATTAAGGTTTCATGGACACCTGTCAGAAGAGAAAATAAGATTGGTGGCCACTTTTTTGTTTTAAATGAGGAATCCCTGACCTGGAACAAGTAGGCAGATCAGGTTTTCTTTCACTTTCTACATACTTCCTCTGGGTCAGCAGCTTGATGCTAACTGGAATTATTATTATTATACGGGATTTATATAGCGCCAACAGTTTGCGAAGTGCTTTACAATATAAGGAAGACATTACAATTACAAAACAATTCAATTGAGGATCCCTCTGCCAGTCATAGAAGTGATGCCGGTGCATTGGCCACATACTGTCAATGAGATGCTCTTCAGTAGCAAGGCAGGGCACTTCCCACCTCCCCCTCCTCCAACCTAGTAGATGGATGGCTGCTGGAGATTGCGCTGTCCCTTGTGGTCTTGTACTGGACAGGAAGGTCAGGGAACTGAAGCTGAGAGTGTTGGATCCAGAGATATGGAAATGTGATGACTAAGTGCTTGGGCAAAAATTTAAAGAAATACTTTACTGGCCAATATATATTTTCTTGATCTGGATTCATTTTAAAAAAATGTTTGAGAGTTTAATACTACTTTAAGGCTGAACTCCAGCCAAAATATTGTATTTCATTCTGGATAGCTCAGAGAAGGGATAGAGCCTGTGTCAGGTTTTTAATGTGTCTGTGATCCTTTTGATGAGAGTCAGGAAAAGATCAAATTATATGAAATCTTTCTTTAACATTTTTAGTAGTGTGGGGAATGGTTGCCACTACCAACATTGTTTTTGTCTGTTGCTCTCTGGACATTAACAGGTTTTTGGGTTTCCTGTTTCTTGTGTGTGCATTGAGAATAGACCTAAACAGCAGGAGATCAACATAGGCTAACCACAGCGCAGTAGTAAAGTTCGCTTAGTGAAAAGCTGCAGTTGCATCCCCTGCTGCCCACAAGTGGTATATATAAAGCATCAGTAGACTAGAGTACCTTTTTTTTTTATTGGCTTAAAAGTTTTATTCATTTTTGACCTTAAGAAAAAATAATACTAAAAGCATTGAACATTTCCTTTAAACATGTAACTATCTCTAAAGTTCTATGGATTTTGTGAAGTTCCAGCACTGCCGCCCACAGCCCTCTGTAAATTGCGCCTGTCATATATTTGTCAGCACGATCCTGGCCTGCTGACATCATGTTAAATAATAGGATTAGCCGTGGTTCGTCTTCTGATCTAATCAGGGCCTGCTAACAGCAATGCGAAGGGAGAAGGCTTAGAGGGGAAAGATGGAAGAGGTTGCACTGGCAATAACAAGGTCTCTCTTACTGCTGGCTGGGAAGAGTCAAAGCTCTTCTGCCTGGGACAAGGCCAGCTAATTGGTGCAAATTAATAGGTTGCGCTCTGAGTGCCACCGAGGTGTGATATTGAAATAGACGTCTTTCTGGGCACATGTAGCCTGTAAGCATGTCGGCCAAGGACAAGAGCAGACTGAAGCAGAATCAAACTTACAGAGATTCATTTTTTAAAAATAAACTTTAAAACCTTCAGCATAGTGCAAGATACTGTTTTAAATAATCTGCACAGTGGTTACCACTTTGCAGCACTGGGGGTCCTCTGGTCTCTGTAATAAATAAGTGATAAATCTCCCCTAATAGCAAATAATATGCAACCCAACCCCTGACACCGTTAAAATGATTCGTCTCGGCCCAAGGGACATTTAACTCCAGGTTCACACACACTCAGTTTTCCTTTGGTTTATTTAATCCTTAAAGAACTCCTCTCGGCAAAGAAAAGTACTCACCTCTCCAAGATCACTCCTGTGATGGACTACAATCTCAATACAAATTAGTAAACTAAATGTTAGATTGTAGTCCATCACAGAAGCGAGCGGTGACTACTTTACAACACACACACGGACCATGGGGAACAAAAGTAGCCCCCTCCAGAAGGAAGGACAGTGTCAGCACCAATTCAGAGATGATTTACAGGATCTACAGCCGAGTTATACACAAATAAGATACATTTTTATTAATAAGGTAGTTGAATGCATTTTTAAGATTTAACTCCTGGGTTTAGTGTCACTTTAATCCTGATGGCTATTGTCACTGGGACAAAAACTGATGGGGAAACCCAAGATTTTACAGTTGATATCTTCCAAGACTGTTGCAGTGATAGCTGTCTATAGGTAACAAAAAAGTGAAATTTCCACTCATTTCAGGTTGTGTCTCTGACACAGGAAGTCAGGTGAAATCTCCCCTATTGGATGCAGCAAAAACGTATTGTAACAGTTTTAAACATCCCCTAGTCTTTTGGCTTTAGATATATTTAAAATCTCTTTAAAGCTGCATTTGCGTAACCATTCAATCTCTTATCTTTGCTACATTTAGATTTGGCTAGAGTGGAAGGTAAGTATTAAAATGATGATCTGTCTCACCTTATTTTCTGTCTAAGTGACCATTAGGAAACTAGGGGGAATCACACCAACATAAGAGCAATATAAAACCAACAATTTAATCTCTTCACTGCCCCATCCAAAACTGTAAACAAAAAAACATTGCCTGGAGTGCTACAACATGGTATGTGATGGACTCTACTTTAAAGTATAGCTGGGCTTTTCCCTGCCCCTAAGTTCAGTCGACAGTAAAGAAGATACCTGCTACTTCCAGCTATGAAGGGGGTTTTTTTTAAGTGTAGAAACAAAATTGTGATCCTGCTCCTCCTGTGGCTCTCATTCTGTCATCTTATCCATTCAGGTTTCATTACTTTGCTGTAATTTCAGAAGCACAATAATAATCACATAGACCTTGATTGGGAGAGCACCTGGCGGCCGGTGTTCCTTGTATTAACATGGCCTAGTTTCTCACTAGTCACCCACCCTATGAATAATGTACATCATGTCTGTGCTGATTACTGACTACATCTACTTTGCAGGCCCTGAAGTGCCGTCACTGGTGACAAATAACCAGCTAACAAACAACAACGGGCACACACTGCAAGCACATGATGTGCCAAGTTAGAAGCAACAGTAAATGGCATTGCTGCTCTAAAATTGCTCTAAATAAGAATCTCACGTGTTCCTTTTTCTAAGACGCAAGTAAAGGTTCCTGTACTCTGACATGGCATGTTGTGTTTGCAACTTAATTTACTTGAGCTGGTGGAGGAAAAACTTTCCTTTTGAAAAATTCTCATGTTTGGTGTAAAAAACAAAAACAAAACAATGGTCTACAAGCAGCCTTAATATTGCCTTGATTTACGGGGGAACTACTAGGTTCTTAAAGTGTAGCTTGTGCCTAAAAAGCAAGGTCTGCTTATTCAGTGAGATCCCTCTACCCCATCTTAATTTGCTGCACATAAAATGTACAAAACAAATGTAGGATAAAAAGTTAAGATACAATACCATAAAACCTTTTATCGAATTCTCTCTAAAGAATTTGTCAGGGCTACTCCATTCTCCAAAGAAACACCCTACCACAGGCCACCGTACACAAACAAATCATGGTCATTCCCTGAGAAGATATATACCGAACCTAGTGCGCAAGTTTCTGCTCCATCTCCCTTCTCAATACAGATCTGAAAATATTTACACTTTTTTTTTTAAAACCGCCTACTCCCTCATCTTACCATTCTCATTCATTTAGACCAGGTAGGAAGTACCTGAGAGGCTAGGATAACACCACGAGAGTACTGAATATAAGCATGCAGCCACCTCCTACAAATTCACTCTACTCAGTCTTTACTAACGTGGAAAAAGTATTTAACGGCGTCACTTGGCACTTCATGGAAGCCTCTTACATCATAAAGTTTTGAAACCAAATATATTCTTGTGGTTAAAAGTGGTCTATTCTCACCCAATAGCAGCGTGGAGAGTCAATAAAAGAATTTCAGACTATTTCCCTCTCCTAAACACCACCAGGCACGGTTGCCCTCTATCCCCACTAATTTTCATCCTAACTCTTGAACCACATCAGAAACAACCTGGACATATCAGAATTTCCACCCTCAACCTCACAACACGAATTAGCCGGATTTGTGGCTTATCCGTTGGTTTGCATATCCTAACAAGAAGTTTCCCTTCCTAATCTCATGTCTGAATTAGAAAATTACGGCTCATTTTCTAACTTTAGGATAAATGTTCTTAAGCACAAGTCATGAATATATCAATCAGCATGGAGCCAGGCTTCCCGGCCAATCAGGAAGCCGGGCAGCGAGTCATTACCCGCCTGGCTAAGAAACTACCTCTATGCTTGTATCGGAGCATTTGGGCGAGTAGGAGTACTCGCCCAAATAATCAGTATCGCTACCTAGTATTGGTATCAGTGCATTCCTAATATTATAAATAAAATTTTTTATATATACATACACACACACACATAAAAATTACACACAAATACATACAGTATGTATATACACTTGTGCTCATAAGTTTACATACCCTGGCAGAATTTACGATTTCCTGGCCATTTTTCAGAGAATATGAATGATAACACGAAAACCTTTCTGTCATTCATGGGTAGTGTTTGGCTGAAGCCATTTATTATCAATCAACTGTGTTTACTCTTTTTCAATAATAATGACAACAGAAACTACCCAAATCGAACTACCCCAACAGAAACCACCTTAAGCTCCCAATCACACAAGCTGTGTGTGTGTGAACATGCTCAAAATGGTGCAATTATTTCAAGATACACATGTCTTGGCGCGTACGTTAAGGCACAAAAGATTTGCAAAGCTTGCAGCTCAAACTGCCGCACAGGGCTGTTCTATGCTTACATGCGACAGGCCCGGTATTCATATGTGCGGCTAATGTGAATAGGGGCTAGACAGGTGATAGGATCACTTTCATTATTTGGAAATTCAAAGGGGATCCGATAAGAAAAAAACCCAGTTAATGACATTTAAATCATCTTCACCCCTTCTCATTTCCCCATATTAAACCTGCACAATCCTCCAGTAATATACAGCTAAGCTGGTAAAGTCTTCTGGAAGCACCTGCAGAGGGAAAGAATGTAGGACAGGCCTGAGGTGGCCCATCTATATTTAGTCAGCTATAGCTGCATCTGATTAATCAAGGATTACGCCTGGAGGCAATGAACAAGCACTGCTCTCATTATGTCACATGTGACGACCTGCAGCAGACATCTTCTATACAGCAAGAGGGAACATGTAGTGACTTTGCTAGGTGGCTCCCAGGGACCAAGGCCTAATGGATAAATAGAAGTGAAAGGTGCGACTCTAGTCTAATGAAGTGAATGGCTGGGGACTAACAGCCTCTCCAGTATCTTGTCTTAAGGGAAAACTAGAATGTATTTTCAGTGGGTACACAAGTTCAGTTCTGTGGAGTTAAGGTATATCTAAAGACTTCTTTTTTTAGTTTTGGATAGAGTAAGGTGTAGGTACAACCCCTGTCTTTTTTTTTTTTTCTGGCATGTGCCATCAGGGAAATTTTTTTTCTTCACATTCTATGCTATAGACACATAGAAAAAGTGAAAATCTCTCCAAACTGAGAGAAAATCATAAAAGTCTTACAATGTTAGGCTGCCCATGCCTGCTAAGTAAGTCCCCATAGACTTGAACAATGCCATACTCCTAGCATCTCTACAGTAGGAGTTCAGCCCCATACAGGTCTATAAGGAGGAGTGACTGAGCAGGCAGCACTGGAGAAGATTTTGGGACACAGGATGTAAACATACTGTGGGACACAGGATGTAAACATACTGTGGGACACAGGATGTAAACATACTGTCAGACCACCACTGTTATGGAGAGGTAAGCAAACATCTGGCTGGGGGTTTGTAGGTTAGATCAGGTTAGGGGGCTTGTAAGTGTAGTTGTACTTTCAATATTAAATATGAATATTCAAATGTAGTAATTTTGAGCAGCAGCTGGAGCCCGATATACTGCTAAGCTATGAAAAAGCTTGAAAAAGTTGTATAGAGATGTGACTAGCAGGAGATGAATTCACACAGCTAAATGAGTCAAAGATACCCAGATGGGACCCATTTCTGTCTCCAGAAGCTTTTAGCAAGTGCAAAGGCAGTACTGGGCTTGCTTATCAGAAAGGAGTATCATGGAAGCACCCTGTAGGAAACATTTATAAAACATATTTTATGGAATGAAGAAAAAAAAAATCATAAACACACAAGTTTATAAACTTGTAAACAAAAAAAATTAAAAATAAAAACCAACCAACAATTATTATAGTCTCCCCCAAGGCAGGAACCCTCAGGATACAAAAGGACAGCAGCTATTGCCAGCTTGTTTTTAAAAGTGCATGTGGGTCAACTTTGCTGACACTTCATTGGTTGCTTCTCTATAAAATATCCAAATCTATATATCTAAATTAATATGAATGAGTAAAAGAAGAGAGAATCGTATGAAATAAGGAGACTTACTCATAGAAGTGGCACTTGGATATAGACAGAAAAGCGCAGTCACGATTAGCTTTAATGGTGAATATCAGGGGCTCTCCGGTTAAGACGGCCAGCTGTCCCACCAGCTCCCCCGGGTGTGTTGTGAAAAGGCAAGTCTCTTCCTCTCGGTCAATCTTCCTTTGGTAGACATGGAGGAGGCCGGAGATGACAAAACGGATGTTGACATCCTAAGAGAAATCCACAGACACGGATAAGGAATTGTTTAACAGCCCCCAACTCCAGCCAAATCTTATCTTGTTTTTTGATAGAGCCCTGATGGGTTAAAGCCTTGATCAGATTTGTATTTCCCTTTGTTTCCCTATTGGACAACATTACTTTACTTCCTTTTAGAACTGATGGCAAACCTCTCAAACAGAGACCTAGACAAATACAAAAATACGTTTTAGTAGTGTAGGGAAGGACAAAACCTCTGACAATGTTTTTACTGCTGTCTGTGCATTTCTGTCCTCCTTCCTCAATTATCCAAAAAAAAAACACGTGTGGCTGAAGTTAAGGGTTTAGAGAGAACATGATACCTACACACACAAAGAGAGGTAGGCACAACTGTGTACAAAAACCTGAACTCCTCTGCTACCAACTTTCACCAGAAGCGATTTGGCTTCATAAGGGTTTCTCTTATTATATATCGGAGTTCCGAATCTAGTGCCTCATTTTCATGTTTAATATTTAAAGAAGTCGGGTTAAAGTCTTGCCTCGTGAGCATTATTTTATATCAATTTAGCCTGTGTGTAAAATCAATCACTAATCATTACTGTAAATCATGACTATTGATTTGGCTGATAGAAGCTGTCTGTTTTCCACACTGACCTGGTCTCCCTGTCTGGACAAGACAGTGCCACCCTTGACTTGATGTAAGGTCACTCTTCCATTCAGCAGTGATGGGTCCTGTGGTGGGAAAAAATCTCGGCAATTAGCAAATAAGTAAGAAGCCTTCTCATCTACATAATTCTAGTACAACAACTCCATTAAAAAGGGGGGGAGAAAACAAAAAGGTAGTGGTTGGAAGCTTGGGCCACCACCTGATTGTTCTGTATAAAGACCATGGAACAAATAATAACAGTTACATTGGCTGAGTATGGATGTTTATGGCCTGTGCAGATACCTCTTAGCTCAACTTCAGAGATCAGTCAGCAAACGCAATCCAGGCAGGAGTCTGGCTTTAAGAATGATAAGTTTTCATTGGCCACAGCAAAGTCGAGCTTGTGTTCTAATCATAATGTTTTTATACACCAATCGTGATCCTAAAATTCCACTTTCTTTATGTGAACCCACCACCACCACCACCCCCATGTATTATGGAGCATACACAATACCTAAATTAGGATGGGACAGAGCAAGGAGAACAGTACGGGAACAGATAGCGAGTATATTTAGGAGATAATAAGCACTGCTGCCTTGCGCTGACAACGGTTAACGTCCCGGCGATGTATATGTGGGAGGGTGCTGCAAGGATATAGCTGAAGGGCTGTGTTGTTTTAACATAATTATCAAGCTCAGAACTGTAATTATTCTAGGCAGTTTCAGTTCAGATCAGGGATCTGTATCATGATTCATTTCATAAGCAAGATAATTAAGGCGTTACTTAGGAAAGGATCCACACTGACTCTTGAGATGTTGTCAGGAGACATTAACTGCTGTGCTGCCAAGCCTAGCACCAAAATCAGATAAAGGATAGAGCTACACAAGCGATTTCTAGTAGCTCCAGCATGCTAGTAAAATCACAAGTACATGATTGCTCAACAGACTGAACATATGTCTCCCTATTGGTTAAGCCACACAAGCAGCAGTAAATCACGTACCAATGGTGCATATGTGAGATAAAATGCTATTGCATGCTAGCTGTATAGGTAACTCCAAGGTCATCCATTTCTTCAAGCAGAACTCCAGGGTCATTTTTTTTCCTAGCCCTTGCAGTGGGGCTACTTTTTGTCTAGGTTTAAAAATAACAAATTTATACTCGCCCAATCTTCATAGCCGGCTTGCTCTTAGACCGGACCCTTCCGCCTCGCTCCCCCACCACTGCAGTGGTCTAAGGTTCTGTGAGTCATCACGGTCTATACACTGTGTATAGGACATGAGGATGCCGAGGGACATACCATTGCTGCCGTCGAGGAGACCAGTCTAAGAGCATCCCGGCTCCAAGAATTAGGCGAGCAGAACTTTGTTATTTTTGAACCTAGACAAATATGAGCTTTTAACCCTTGAAGTGCAAGGGTTAAGAAAATGTTTCCCCTGAGTTCTGTTTTAAGTCTCTTCACCCCCCCGCCCCCCCCGCGCCAC